CCCACATTGGAAGCATTCAGATTCAACCTAGCAGGAGAAGAATTTTATATGCCAGCAGTTAAAATTGGAGTTCTGGATAGCATTACCACTGCAGGCTAAAGTGCTCTAAGGTCATAAATAAACTTGAAAGGTAGCCTAGGCCTTTCAAGGAGTAAATTTCCCCAGCAAGTTCTGGTGCTGTGCTGGGCTCAGAGCCGGTGAACTTAGGGTGTATAGGACCTAGTGAGACATCAGCTGGGGCAGCCAGGGAGTGCTTTTGCCACCCCTCCCCCAGCCCCAGACACAGCAGTTCACAGTTTCGGTGGAGACACTTCTGTTTGAAAAGAGGGTAAAGAGGACTTTGTCTTCTAACTTGTTACCAGCTCAGCCGTAGTAAAATAAAACACCAAGCAGAGTCCTGAAGGCCCCATGGCAGGCCCTAGCTCTCAGAAAACAGACATTTCTGGACATACCCTGGGCCAGAAGGGAACCCACTGCCCTGAAGGGAGATAACCAGACCTGACAAGATTCACCAAAAGCTGACTAAGACCCCTTGGTATAAATCCCAGTGGTAGCCAGGCAGCACTCACCATGGGCCTAGGGCAGTGGTGGCCATGAGAGGAAACTCCTTCTTCTTGAGGAAATAAGAGAGAAGAGTAAAAAAGACTTTGTTTCAGAATTAGGGTAGCAGCTCAGCTGCAGTAAAATAAAGCACCAAGTAGATTCTAAATTCCCAGAGTTCCCAACTCCAGACCCTCGTTCTCAGACAGAATTTCTACACCCACCCTGGGCCAGAAGGGAACTCAGCACCTTGAAGGGACACAGAAGCCTAGAATGATTCACCACCTGCTGACTAAAGAGCCCTTGGACCCTAAATAAACATCAGTGGTGGCCAGGCAACAGTTTCCAAAGGCCTTCGTCAATACCAAGTACTGTCCTGGCTTTAGGTCTGACGCTGCACAGTTGCAGTAGTGGTGGCCACAGAGGTGCTTGTTTCACCCTTCCTCCAACTCTAGGAAGCTCAGCACAGAGAGAGAAACTTGTTCCTTTAGGGTAGAGTGAGAGAACAAGAATCTCTACTTGGTAATCCAGTTGCTGTGCAACTGATATTATTTGAGAAGAGAAGGATAATTGAGCTCCTGTTGGAAGAACAGCAGTTTGAAAATACTGCTCTAATGAACACAAGTTGGTGTCAGGATTCCATCTTTCTAGTTCTTTCTAGTGAGTTACCTAAGGTCTAAATTTTGTCCTGAACAGAATCTCTTGGGGAACTAAAATACTGCCAAGGAAAGCTCTTGATACTCCTGCATCATGAATATTATTGAGCTCTAAGCCTTGAACTAGTCATGTCAGGAGAACCTTTAATTGCTCTCGGCAGTTCTTATGGACCGACAAGAAGTACTACTGGAGATCTTGGTGACAGTGGCCAAAAGGAAAGGATAAGATTGTGATTGCTGGGAACCAGATACCTTTTGAATATGTTCATCCAAATCCTGCATATTACTAAGCCAGAGACTGTTTAGTACTTGTTCCTCCTGGGAAGGTTTACAGTAAACAAAAATACAGTTTAACATGTTTAATGTTTTGAAATTCTGGAAGAAGAGCAGAAATACTCATTTATTCCTGGGTGTCCACATGAGCATAGGGGAATTCTAAAGTGTAAGAAGTGACAGGATAGGCATGGTTAAAATCTCAGATTCTAACCTCAGCCTGGTCCCTCCCCTTAGTATCTTGAGCATTAAGCTCAATAAACCTCAATGCTCTATAAAATTGTAGTGACAATTACATTTAGTTAAAAGATTATAAGGTTTCAACAGGTTAATACATATAAAATGTTTAACTAGTATAGTGTCTAAGACATGGAAAAGTCTCACCAAAGTAACCAAATATAGTAGTACCACCTTATCTATGGCTTTGCTTTAATAGTTTTAGGTACGTACAGTCAACTGTCTGAGAATATTATAGTATTTTGAGAGAGAGAGAGAAAGAGAGAGAGAGAGAGAGAGAGAGAGAATATTCCCATAACAGTATACTGTTGTTCTATTTTATTATTAGTTATTATTGTTAATCTCTTACTGTGACTGATTTATAAATTAAACTGTATAATATGTAACTATGTAAAGGAATAAACAGTCTATATAGGATTTGGTACTGTCCACAGTTTCAAGCATCCATGGGATGTCTTGGAATTTATCTCCCATGGATAAAGTGGACTACTGTGTTAGTTTCAGTTCCTCATATTTCCTGAACTACCTGACATTAGGATCCACAATTCCGTAATACATGCTGCTTCAATCAGCAGCAGGCTTAGCACACAGCATATGTTTAATAACAGCTAAACCTAAAATAAAAATTAAGATTTCCAGTTGACCTGAAGCTAGGGAAGCCTACACATATCTTTTTTTATTTAGAAACACAGTCTCTACAGAGAGTATCTGATGACATGGGAGATGCCATGATAGAGTCAGTCTGGTGGAGAAGATGCCTAGATCTTCATCAGTCCCAGAGCCACATTATCCATTTAGGGCTGGTTTTGTAAGATCAATAGAACCCATGTCATTGACATAATCCTCATTACTGCCAGCATTCTTACTGTTTAAATGCCTATGTAATAGTTGTTTTTCTTATTTCACTGAATTCTTACAATGCCTTAGGAGATATTTGATTCCTATGATAACAAGAAAGCTGAGTCTCAGAGTGGTTACATAACTTGTTCAATGCCACGCAGTAGTGAGTGAAAAAGCCAAGACTGGAATGAGGGCCACAGAGAGCTGGATCAGCCCTTTTGCCGGGGAAGCTAAGCTAAAAGTCTATCTAGACTGGCAGCCCTGACATCCTACTCAGCTTTATTAATATCCTGACTTGCTCTAGACTTGTCTGAAACCCTGGCTTATCTAGCTCCAAAGCTTATGAAGCTTCCACGAAACCAGAGAACCATCATTTGAGTAGTAGGGAATATTCTCCAAAGAACAATAAATGTGACATTATCAGAGATGTTAGAGACTCCCATCATGAATCCCAGTTTCAGAAATTGTGTCTCAAAAAACTAAAGTCTTAATAAATATTAGATTGGTGCAAAAGTAATTATGGTTGCCATTAAAAGTAATGGCAAAACAGCAGTTACTTTTGCACCAACCTATAAAAAAGACTGTGACTCGTCATTACAATGGAAGGTAAAAGGTATACTCTTATGTTATCATGGAAATAAACATCATCAGTTTAAAAATTCTCACAGAATTTGTTGTTTCTCTATAGGACAGCATGATTATGCATCCTAAATGGAATGTAATTATTTTTGTCAAAAAATAATCTTCATATATATATACCAGTCATTCCGTGGGGCAGGGTGGGATTCATGGGTTTTTGGAAATGTTACTGTTTTCAAGTTATATATGAATACTTTAAGTTGTGTCTGAGTTTCCAGAAAAATGACACTGTTGCCTTTGCTGTGCTGTGAGCTACTGAGTAAGAAAATATGTTTCGACAAGATTTATTTATTAGATTAAGTGAGTATATTAACATTCCATGGTCAAAATTATGGGAGACATGGTTAGGAGTGAAATTTCCTCATCTCCTTGATGTCTTTATCTCTCATATTAAGTTTCTATCTCTCATATTAAGTTTTGCATAGTTAGCAACATTGTTAATTCCTTGTACAAGACGCATTCCCTGTGAAAAATAGTTTTACCTGTTTGTCTCAACATGTATGTGTGATCATTGTGATACGGCATCAGGCATTCTGTGACCTGTTGCTTTGTCATCTTTCCCATTTTATCTTTCCATCTATTTTTCAAACTCATCAAGATACATTCCACTTTCCATCTTCTCCATTATGTACCTAAGGGTTTTCCTTAATTGTCCAACCTAAAAAATAATAATCACTAAATGATAGAACCCTATGATAACTAAATGATAGAATGATGGAAATGATTTCCAGCATTTCTGTCTGAGTGCTAGAAATCTCCTAGCCTACTTTGAAGCAAGTCAAAAGCAACTGTGAAGTTAATATAATGAAATTATTGTCTCTTTTTGAGGCCCACTATTGCAATTTTCCTCATCTCCAAGCTGGTAGAAAATGCTGTTGCTTTGTGATCATTTTCTTCAGAGGACTTAGGGATCATTTTCTCTAACCAGCTCATGAAATACACGGAGGTCTGCAGAAGTGAAGTGACATGCCCAAGAGCTCATGACAAGTAAATAAGTGTCTTACGCTAAATACATCCAGAATGAGTGTTCTTAACCTCGTACTTGTCTCGTTGTCCTATGCTTAGGCTAACGTTTGGGAACAGCAGGGAAAACAACTGCAGATTGAGACTTGAGGGAGAAGGTTAGGAGATGGTCCCTAGCAAATCCCCTGGGCCTGGGGATCACCTGCTCGCAGGGATCAAAACGGTGAAATAAGCTATTCATAAGTACATCAAGGACGAGTGGGCCATTGTTTTCAGAACCAGCTGTGGAGAATCTGTTGGCCTTGGAACAGCTGTCGCTGCTGCACCAAGAAGGGAGGGAGGGCGGAGCGGTACTGGTGGAAGGGTGATCTAGGAGGGAGGGCCCCAAGGACCCTGCCACGCCACCTCCTGGCAAACCAGGAAGTATTTTTGCAGTAAGTGCATTGGACTGAGCCACCTTTTGAACCTACCCGAAGTATTAACAGCACACAGGAGACCTCAGATGCGTGCAGTCACTGCAAACTCTCAGCAGGCTGGTGCTCCAGAGGCTGCGGGCAGGCCGCTAAATAGGCAGAGCCCAGCGCAGTGATTCGGCACTGTCCGAAAGTACGGATTGGAGCCCTCAGCCCACTGTCTTTGCAAATCGTGATCGAGCAAAGTCCGTGGTAAACAAGCCTCGCAGCGGCTGCCTCCGGATGAGCGCCCCCTGCGCGTTCCTCCAGCCAGCATTTCCCACGCGCCCAGCGCTCTGCTCTGCAGCCCCTGCCGTCCTCTCTCCCAACCCCTGAGAGATCACCCCATCTTTTGGACCATCATAGGTCCCCGCCCCCGTGGCTGGCGCTTAACACTCACCATCTCTTGCCTGAGGAGGTGTAGCTTGGTTTCTAGCTTCTCCAGGGTGCTGGAGTGGCTACCTCGTGGGGAGCCAGAGGTTGGGGAGGACGAAGAGGAGGATGACAAGGAGGGAGGGAAGCTGCAGCAGCTGCTGCTGCTACTGCAGCCGCCGCCGCCTCCGCCACCGCCACTGCCGCCACCACCGCTCCCTCCGCAGGGGTCCCTGTCTCTTTCCCTGGGAACCTGCTCCTCCCCACGGAGAGAACGCACTAGGCTCTCAGGTACTTTGCGCCCCAGCTTCAGCTCGATGTCTCTGAGGTCTGGCAGTGGGCTGTCTTCCATGACTTTTCGAGAATGGCGATAATGGTAATAAAACGAAGCAGAGGAGAGGCAGTGACGGCCTCGAAGGCTGCGGCGAGATTAGCAGACCTCTCTGGGCGCCAGGGTCTCTATCTTCCGCGGCTCCGGTACACCGTCCTCTCCATAACCACCCGCGCGGTGTCAGCCCTGAAATCCTCACAGGACGCCGGGGGTCGCAGCTGCAGTTCCCCGGCCGCAGCAACTCCTCCGACACTAAGATGATCTAGACCGCCTCATTCTCTTTCTTTTTGGCCACCTCCCTGCAAAGTTGAGTTCACTGATATTGCAGAGGGCGGGGGGGAAAAGCAAGTACTGAAAGAAAAGAGAGGGAAATGAAATCTGTTTTAGTTTTACCAGGGGAAAAATTTCACATTATAAAACCGTCCGTTCACATTCCTGCGCCGTTCACTGACTGTCCATCTGCTACTACGGGACACAAAATAATAATGCAGCTAGAAACGATGTCCTGGGTCGTTTCATTTTCCAGCCATATGTCTCCAGGCTTTCGGGATATCCTGGATTGTCAAAAATAATCTCTGGTCAGTGAAAGAGGAATTCGGTCCTGTGCATGGACGCATAAAAAAGAGCTAGTTCGCTTAGCAGGAGTTTAACGGCTTCCTTGATGCAGCAAAAAATGCCCTTCTTCCCATTTAGGCTGTTTGATCCAAGTCCTTGTGTTCCTCTAAGCCTCGGAAACTTTAAACTCCGCTGGCAGGTGGACCAAACCAGGGCCAACCCTTGTACCGTATATCACAGACAATAAGAGTAAAGGGGATTTTCCAACCCTGCTGCTAGTAGTAGAGTTTCAACGTCCTGCTTTAGTTGGGAGTACCAGTATTATTAGGGTATTTGATTTTTCGGTTTTCCCTACTGAATTGCCTGGTAGTTACAACCTTAAAAACACGTTGTAAACTAAGAGATAGAAGAATGACTTTATTATTTGGTCTCGTTTTTTTTCCCATCCCACTACCTTCCTCAAAGGAAAAACAAACAAAAAACCTCTCTTTAGAAGCCTTTCCTAATAATTTTATACTAATAAAAAGAGTGAAACAGTTTCATCAAAAGTTCAGTGAAAATGTAAAATCAAAATTAATTATCCTACCGTTACAGTATGCAAGCGAAAGTGAGGAAATAAATAGCCGGAATAACTAATGTAACTGTGGAGATAGCAGTGGAATTTTTAGAGGCAGCAGTTGCTGAGATACTTACTTTTACTTTAATTATGTAAGGAAAAAATTGAGAATAACAATTTTAAATGTTTTCCTCTTTGATAATTTATCTATAAATTAATTTATAGATATTTTTCAGTGATACAATTTGTACAATTGTATAGTTGAAAAATTGTATAATTTTTTAATTTGTACAATTGTACCATTCATTAATCTGAGATACTTCTACCAAGTAAGTTATAATGAGCTACATGGATTACAGATTTGAATCAGCATTGAGTTTGTTTCAAAAATGATTAAGTAGAGGATACTAATTTCTATCCAGCAAACTACAATTTTTGGTTTCCATTGAAGTATTTCAAAGTATGGGCCCCTCTATTTCTGGGACAAATAAATATTTGTGTTCTTGATCACTCCCAGGCTCCATTTCCAGAGACGTCACTCAGGTTTTACACTTGAAAGAACATAGGTATATACATCTCAGAGTTTGTTTTTAATCAAATCATACTCTAGGAAACTTAATACAGAGAGGAAACTTAGGCCTTCTGAATGAAATATTTCATGTCAGAGAGAAAATTGCTAAACTTTCTTATGAACCTGGTGGAAATTTGCATCTTATTTCTCCCTCTTAAAAAGAAATGAAGAAAATAGTTATAAGTTAGGTGACCCATTTCAAAGTTAGAATTACCATTTATAGAATCCAGGGAAAACAAGGCCAAATCTCAACTCACTGATAAAACTACATGCTTGGGGGGTCCAAAGTGGCTCCCGCCGGAGCTCATGGCGCTCGCGAAGGTGAGGTCATCAGTTCAAGGCTAACCTGAGCAACCTCATAAGCTCAAACTGATTGGCAAAAAAAAAAAAAAAAAAACAACTACATGCTTGGTCTTAAATTTGGAAAACCACAAGCTCATTGCATAAGAATTGCACTGTGACATGTAATTATGAAAGGCTTGTGTTTCAGTCAAGAACAGTTTATTATTACAAAACCCTTACAAAGTTCAGCATCAGGCTGAATAAGAGCAGTTTATAGATGCAATATCTAGCTTGAACTTGGTCAGTAAAAAAAAATTTGTCAAATGATCATGTGTCAATATAGAGAAATGGGACACCTCCTTTGGTATGAATCATAGACTATAAAATCAGTATTTGAGGCTGAAGATAATATATATATATATTATATATGTTTGCTTTTTAAGGAAGTCTGCAGAAGAAACTCATCTGAGAGTAAAAATGTGGTGTATAGTAAAGTAACCCTTTGTGAAATATAAAACAAATATAAACTTTTGAATAAACACTTAGTATGTCAAGCCTTCAAAATTTTTTCGGTTAAATGCCTATTGACATTTTAGTTTAAAATGGAGACATTTTGAATGATGCTTTAATTAATTTTCAGAATACATTAAAATCATTGAATATTCGTGGGTCTATAATAGATTGTTGTTAATCATACCATAACTGCTTTATGTGGTTTAATCTGAGGACATTTCTTACTCAAAACTATTTGGAAATATATTTTTTTTGTTCTTGACCATGATTTTTGTTTGTTTATTTTCAAGATTCTCAAGAAACTGTGTAAGCTTGAGCAATATAGTGAGACCCCACCTCTTCAAAATATTTAAAAATTACCCAGGCATGTTCGCATGCACTTGTAGTCTTAGCTAAGAGATTACGGGTGGGGGACTGAGGCTGTAAGACTACTTGAGTCTAGGGGTTCAAGGTTGCAGTGAGCTATGATTGCGCCACTGCCCTTAAGTCTGTGAGACAGAGTAAGGAGCTGCCTCAAAAAAGCAATAAATGGACAAAAATGCCCACAAACAACAAAAAATGTGTGAGATGTTTTACCAGTTGCTCTTAGCCTAATAATTTAATTACAGCTTGATTTGGGGAATCAGTTGGGAAGTCTTTGCAGTAATGAGTCCAGGATGGGGGCTTGGGGTAGGAGTGAGTTCAGCAACAAATGGGAGAGGGAACATAGGGAGAACTGAGAAAGACAGGGAAAAGTTCTTGAGTCATCACTCTTAGCAGTCCTCCGTTGCTACTCCTATTTTTCTTGTCCATCTCTAACTACCTCTGTTTCTTTGATTAATAGCATTTGCCATGCTAACAGTCACCTAAATTCACAGTATTTCTCCAAGCCTAATATATTGCAAAGCAAAATTGTAACAAATGTTATTGTATTGTTTTTATTTGTGATGTAATTTTTTATACTTTATTATATGCGTTCTTTTGTAGACCACCTTATATATGAGCTAGATTTTCCTTTTTTTTCTATTAAAAATGCACAAGGAATCTAAGAATGAGTTTTTAACTATGGAGGACTTTAAGAGACTGAGTTTCTTCCCTAGTTGGATCATGTTCATGAAGAAAGACACAGAGTCTCCTATTTATCTTAAAAAAAAAGTAAACAACTGGTGGATAATTAAATAAGAACATTGTTGGACTCAGATGACAGGTTTTGAAAGAATGCCTCAGTCACAACAGACTGATGTGATGCACACTTCACACATTCCACACTTAGAACACTTCCTGGTTTGAGACACAGTACTTAGAGCAAGAGTAGACTCAACAAGGCTTCATGTAGTGTGGATAACAACACTCCGTAATCTGCTGTTGGCATCTGCTGTGGTTAAAAGAAGAAAGGCCTTCCACCTTCTTTCTGGCACTGATTGCAAGTTTGCAGCATTCCCAGCTCTTACTGGCACAGAGTTCAAGGGCTAGGGCTGAGTCTCTTACCTGAGACTCCACTCCCCACAGTGCAGAATAATATCAAGCAGCCAACAGCCTCAAATTACCCTTAAGAATTTTAGGAAGCTACTATTTAATGAGTATCAGGTTCTTTGACTTTTTGTTTATAAATGTGTAGAGCTGCTCCTCCTACAAATATTTTTAATCAGTTTATATGCATAATGAGGAAGATGTTACAGCAAAGCTAAAGAATGTTGACCCTAGCCATATATGGTAGAATTACGTATCTGCTAAAGTTACTGAGGTTTTATCCTGCTTATTTATAGAGTCATTTAATTTACCTATAATTTTATAGTTGTCTTGGGTCTGTTTTACTAAGTGAAATCATCTAGTTATTACCAACTTGAACCACTTGTACATGAGAAAGTTATATATGCATATTACTATCTCTGTATCTACCTAACAATCAATCTATCTGAAATCTCTGTCTAAGGTGTATAGACCCTTTAAATAATCTCTAGTTGAAATCTAATTAATATTTATAATCAGAGCAAAACACTTCCCTGGGGATTTAGTAGACAATACTAAAAGTAGGTCACCAGCATCTAAGTCTTCCTTATCTCCTCTTCACAATCCCTGTCAAATCTCTCTGCCTTCATTATTTGTAATAGCATTCTTTATTTGCTTTTTTCTGTTATCCTGAGCTCTATATTCCTACTGAAAGGTGCAATGCAGGACCAAGAAAAGAGATCTCTTCAGCTAACCTCTACAGCCATCCCAATTTGACTTATAGAATGAACTTTCTAGGTTATTTCAATGCTGTGTTGGTTTATGTTTGCAACTAAGTTTCTGAAAATATAAAAATAACTGATTTGTAGTTTTTAGCAACATTCATGGTATGAATACTCTCATCACAGCTGATAGTAAGCTACCAATGTGAGTTGGGAAAGGATGGGAAGTAATTCAGCATTACATAGTCTTTCCACTATACAGATAAAACACACATAAATAACCTCAGAAGCATAAAGAGTCATAGGCACAGAGAGTAGTAAAATATATTCAAGTAATTAGAAAGTGATGAGTTTTTATTCTTTATTACCTTTGTTTTAGTTTCCCTATTTGAAAGCTTATACAATGCAATTTTTAAAATAATGGCTGTGTTTAGCAACCAGTTTGCAAAATTCTCAAAAATTTAACAATTGTCTCTGAACACTGGAATTGGTTGGCACCCAGACACTTGTGTTTCATGAAATTATTGGGGGGTGATCATTAATTATGGTTAAGAAAGAAAATAAAGACTCAAAGCCAGAAGACGTGCAGTTTTAAGAGTTGGGCAAAGCCATAGTTTGGGAAAATGAGTCCCAAGGTCAGAAAGCAGGAA